GCAGAATCTCATCTGCCATCATCAGGCTTCTGTACTGTGTTCATCTGTGAGACGAACAGATGAACACAATACAGAAGCCTGATGATGCCAGATGAGATTCTGCCGAAACGTTGCTACAACTTTAAAAGCACAACTATAATGATGTGCGAAAATACCCGAACAAAGCTGAATACCATATATGTATGTATGCGTGTGTGCGTGTGTGTGTGTGTTTGGGTATCTTGGCGACGTTTCGGCAAGGTCCTATTCGCCATCCTCAGGCTGTTGCTTTCGGCTTCGTGCCAGTGCAAGCAGTGCCACTGAAAGCAGGGACCTCGCCAAAATGTCGCCAAGATACTCTTAATCTTATACGGGAGAAGACCCGAACACAGCTAGACCTACATACCTGTACGTGAAAATCTACGAAAACATATATATATACATACACACACATGTACATATCTATGCCCATATACATATGCAATATACACATACATGCATACATACACACATAGACATACTTACACAGATCTACCTTATCAAGTTTTGCAAATAAAAGAGAGGCCTATTGAACAAGACGTCATTTGAGCGAGGGCGAGAGGGAAATTCACACGAAAACCCGGAAAAGACGGGCTACGTGGAAGACACCGGATTTGCGAGACCGAAAGGGCAGGAGACGGGCCCACCGTACCCCAGCCAGCCCTTCTCCGTGACCTCCACGGTCACCTTCCGGCTAAAAGCGCCGGCTGCCCTCCTTCGTTTGCACGCCTCGCCCACCACGAGACGGTGCGCGTGCATACATACTGGCGCCCCAACGGAAGGCCGAAGCGGCACGCGCGGCGCCCTCAGCTCACCTTGATGAGCGGAGAAACCTCCACTGGGGGAATCATCTTCTCCTCCCGGCCGAAGGAAAACGGATGTGACGCACGAAGCCGTTTAGAACGCCGGCGCGCCGTGACGCAAGAGCTTCGACGTTGAAAAACGAAAGAGAGAGAGAGAGAGAGAGAGGTAGAGATAGAAAATGGAAGATCATGCTTGAATGCATTTTTTTTTATAGAGCTACGACGCTAAAAATATGCCTCAAAAAATGCCATGGAAAGTTTGTGGCTATTTTTATTTTTAACGCTGCATTTTTAACATTTCAAAGTATATTTAAAATCAAATAAAAGGAAACTTTTACCTTTATAAATAACATCAACGCTTTTATATGATGATACTTTGTACAAGTCTTGGAATTTAAGGATTATTCTACAATGCTTTTTCCAATATCAAATGCTTCCGCCCTATATGTAGATCAATTACGCAGCAGTCTAGTGTAAGCCAATAAGAATAATTTTATCTGATTGGTTCGGGAATTCTACAGCATTTATGAATTTAATCATTTTTATATCAAAATTAATGTTTTTTTACATTAGATATTGTTTGATGAAACACAAATGATATGCCATGATTAATTCACCAAACAGTTTGAAAAGTTTGTTATTACTGACTTACTTAAAAAGAGCAATATATGTTTTGAAAGATACAAGTTGAAAATGTTTTCAACTTCTCTTACAACACAGCGTCTTTAAACGTTCCTTAAATTGGATTCTAAAGAAGAGAGCAACAGCAGAGAGTAAAGATACACACACACAGCCTGCCAAAGTCCCAGGGAGAATATCACAATACAATATAATCAGTGAATATTATTAGCATGAGCAGCTATGGGCAAATTATCTGAACCATTCCACAAGAATATTTTGAGTCCATAAATATTTCTAACAAGGCCTGTCATTTTAAATATTTGATTTAGTGAAGTCATGTTTCATTTTGCAATAAATCATAAAATGGTTCATTAATTGCATAAATCATTTAAATAAATTAAGTGAATTGTTTAACAATTTAAATTTGGCATCCAAAGCCCACTAAATCCAAATGCAGTTTGCTTATGTATGCTGGCAACTGTGATTGTAAAATTATGATTTACCTTGTTGTGTGAACCCACATACTCAAAAGGGATATCTAGCTTTCTATAAATAGGAACGACTGGGACTGAATATGTTAACCTGTTTAAGTCAAAACTACCCAAATCAAGGTCTCCTCTTCCACATTCAAAGTCAGGATGAATTCTCCAGGATTCTTTGTATTTCCAGTTTATTATAATAATGATGATAAAAAGGTATGGAGGAAACTACACAATCAAATCTTATTTAATTATAACAAATCATGACAAACTATATCAAGAAATTGCTGCTTCCCAATGTAGCATCTTCCAAATGTATTTCCAAGAATATGCAGGGATGGAATTTAGAAGTCTTCATTAAAAGTTAATGCTTGTTTAATCCCTGCCCAGTGTTCTTACTATGTTATAATATATGAGTTCAAAAGGTACACAAAAATAGCTTGAGTGACAGTTGAATTAACCACCATGGATATTGCAGCTCATAGCAATTGAAGGAATGTCTTACTGGACAACTTCAACTAACTGTTGTTTGTTCACCAGGGAATAGAAGGTATCTTGCAGCTCTGACCAAGTATGGAGTCATCTTGTGAGCTGAAGGTTTATGCAGTGTTGAGATCTTCTTTGGGAATGCCATCTGGAAAGACAAGATCCTCCTGTACATATAAGAAGTGTTTGATACAGACAGTTTCCCAGAGAAACACAGGATCTCTCCAGGAAAGATGGTGAGTTTAACCTGTATTTTAAAAATGATGTCTCTATGGTTTCCATAACACAAACTTGATTGAGTAACCTGTTAAAGGGTAAATATTTAGAGGATAAATATATATATTTTTAAAAACCACGGCTTTTTTCATGTATAACTCCAAACTCCAGTCTGTATATCCTGTTGCTTTTGTACAGGATGGTATGTATAAAACATAGCATCATTATAGTGTTTTGTAATTTAGGAAAATAACCTGAGAATTATTATCAGCTGCCTTATCTACTTCTAACTGTGTGATCAGAACAAGGTACAGTCTGACTGAATTCATAATACTCTTCATTTCAGGCCAGCCGAAAAACCAAAAAGAAGGAAGGCGGTGCCAAACGTGCTCAAAGGGCTTCTTCTAATGTTTTCTCCAACTTTGAACAGACACAGATCCAAGAGTTCAAGGAAGTAAGAACATTTCTCTTTAGAATGTTTTAAACTGCACGAGTGGTATTCCATTATAAAAACTGGACAAACTTTAACCTTTTGTCATCCAACACAACTGGCTTGTTACCGTGCATTAAGAATAGGAGAAAAACAGGAGAAGAAAAATAGGAGAATATCTGTATACAGCTTCCCTTAAGTCGCTCTCCCTCTCTCCAACTTTCTATCTGTGCTTGCCCTCTTGCTATTAGTAGTCTACAGATATCAGTCAGTGTGGGGCTTTGAAGTAACATCTTAGAAATGAACCAAATTAAACCTTGAAGACTAGGATGTGGTAAGAGCATCTTTATGTTGTATTTACCCATTAACTTGCTTTTTAAATAGTAACATCATTTGCATAGATGTATCCTATTCTGTTCAGTAGGATTTAATATACCAGAAAGTCTACAGTATATTAGATTGCAGCCTAAATCATACCAACAGAAGACAGTTAACAGAAACCAGAAAGGTAGAAAAATATGATATAAAAGTGAGACTCATTTGCAGACTGACTCTGCCTACCGTGTAAGGGAACTCCCCGCCCCCTCCTCCATTTCAGGAATTTTGTATTTTAAGAACACCATTCTTGTTAGTATATCACATGTCATCAATCTGTTGGGATTTGACAAGAAAGTCTTTGAATCATAAGTAATGTGATAAACAAACTACTTAGCAAAAATGAAATCCCTAGACCAGTCTTACCGATAGCTGCATGGATATCAATTTTCAGAACATTCAGTATAGCTAAGATAATAGCTAAGAAATTCTGAGATTTTAATCTGTGTATCTGGAAAACGCCAGACCAGGGAAGATTGCTGTACATTACTTCCTGTTTTATTTTAACCGTAGAAAATGGAGAGCAGAATAAATAATATACAAATAATCTGCCTGAGAAGTAAGTTATAGCTGCAGAAAGAGCTTCGATTTTAAGAAATATATTCATGCCATTCACACTGGTTTGTGTGAAGGGGTTCATCCCATGGTGGAATGAAATCTTCTGGTAGTCAGGTTTTTTTTCTCTTCCAAACCTACAGATCTGCTGCAAGTAGTTGGGAGATGAGAGAAACATAGACAAAAGAATTTCTCACATGAGTGGAAGTTTACTTATGTAATTTGAAATGTCATTTCAAATTTTTATTCCTCATGGGAAGAAAAATATTTCAATCTACAATTGAAAAACTGTTGAAAGTAAAAATAAATAGATGTATTTTTTCATGTTTGAAAACAACAAGGATATAAATGTGTTGCTGCTTGACTTGCAAAACATAGCCTCATTGAATGTCCCCCTCCATTTTTACATGGGCATCTATTTCCTCCCACTTAATTCCAATCTATACCTTCTAGGTATATATCTATACCTATACCAGCTCCTGTTAACCTAGCAATTCAAATGCTTTCAAATGCGAGTAGATAAATACTGTGTTTCTACAGTCAGAAAATAAGCCCTAGCATGAATTTTCAGGATGCTTATATATAAGCCCTACCCCCAAAATAAGCCCCATTTAAGATTGCCAGCCAGATGGACACATTTCATAACCACATTTCCCCCAAAATAAGACCTAACCAGAAAAATAAGACTTAATGCATTTTTGGGAGCAAAAATTAATATAAGACCAAGTCTTATTTTCAGGTAAGTACCACTTTGGAGGGAAAGTAACAGTATTCTGTGTGTCTCAGCATATAGTCATGCTGGCCATTGAACATGGAAGCATGTTGGGACAATGTTGGCTTCCTCAGCTAGGAAATGCAGATGGACACTGCCCTCTAGAGTCTGACACTACTGGATGGGGAAAACCTTTACCATACCCATTGCAGACCCTGTTCCCTCCTACATTGGAAAAGAAGCCCTCAACCTGCCAAGCCAAGCTAAGCCCAACATGGCCCTCAAATCCATAAAAGCCGATTCTTCTAAGCCTGGTTTTCTCAGACTTGGCAACTTTAAGATATGTGAGTTTCATCTCCCAGCTTGTAGCTAGGGAATTCTGGGAGTTGAACTCCACGCCTCTTAAAGTTGTTAAGATTGAGAAGCCTTACTCTATATTATTAAAGCAGTCATAATTTGTCCTGTGAATGGCTATTAATTGTAATGTTCAATTGTTTTTTTCCATAGCTATCATACAATATGCCATATAACTGCAATATTTGTAGTTCTTGGAATCAAGGGAATTACTGTTAGTTCAATTTAAGCTGATTGAATGTTTTTGATAAGAAAAAAAATTGAAATCTTCAGCTCTAAATTTAAGCTTAACTATCACATTTTTATTTTTCCAAATGTTGGAATATAGAAAAAGCTCTCATGCCAATATATTATCCACTGAAATACATTGGACCTAGACTGAAGTAAGTATGATTAGGATTGTGATGACATTAGTAACTAAAAGAAACATAATAAAAATATTTTTTTAAATAGGCTTTCACCTTAATTGATCAGAACAGAGATGGCTTCATAGACAAAGAAGACCTAAAAGATACCTATGCATCATTGGGCAAGTGTTATTAAATTATTTTGTCTCAATTTAAAATCAGATTTTTTTCCTTTGTTTGGTAATCTGATACAACAATAATTACAGTTAACTAGAATACAAGGACCGTTAAAAATCGCAATAGATTAAAGTAGCTTTAAAATCAGACTCTTCTCTGTAGATCAGCAAATGGTAAATATATTTTCTGCTCTTAATATAATTTAAATGTAAATTAATAATTTCTCAATCTATTTCCAAGTATATTATCCTACTGATTCAAGGAGATTGAAGATAAATTCAGTTTAAAATCTACTTTTGTTATTAAATGCTTGAGCTCTTTATGTTCTTTTAAAATGATTACAAATTGAAGGGGACATGGGTAAGTGCAAATTGGAATTTTTTGAAAC